CTCCTTACCCAGCAGAGCGGCCTGCAGCAGCATCGTCAATTTCGAATCCCGATATGGAATGACATCCGCATTGGCCTTCTTCTTTGTTGAGCTGGCCGCGTCCAGGCAACGACCCAACACCATAAGCGACGTGTTGATGCTTTGTGCCTCTTTTAAACGGGATCCGATCGTGCCCGTTTTGTCCACACGCTCTGAGCCGGCAAGATCGCAGAATTTGTATGAGTTTTGTGTGGTCATGCCATTCCGATGGTATTTCAGTACATCCACCGTGAAGACGCAATGCGAACGACTCGAGTTGGCATTAACTGCCGTAGAGGCGTACGTCAGACGTTGCTGTCCCAACCGTAGCAGCTTCAGAGCTTCCTCGCTGCTTCTCACAAATATACTAGTCAAACCCTTGATGAAGACCTGGCCCTTATTGCAAACGATCTTTAGATTTTTCCGCCGAGCCTCCATATTTTGCTGACGTGGGGGTAAGGTCAACAGATCGTAGACGAGCTCATTGTATATTTCGACAAATGACACCCAAATCATGACGGACACTTCTTCGGCTGGCTTCTCTTCGAATTCATGATCGCCATGGATTACTTGCTTTAGGCGCTGGTGTTGAGCCTGCATATCCGGGCACAGCGCCAACAACTGTCGACGTATTTGCATTTCCTTCATAGTAACATCGTCTTCCAGGATTACCATGCGCGCATTAACAAGCTTCAGCTTGGCTGCCGTATACACCTGCTTATTGTACAGGGTAAATATGTGTTCCAGAGCGCGTGGTATAATGCCGGCCCTAACACTGTCACCTGGTGTAGCCAATCAAACTAAACGTGAATGCGGATTCTTACTGATAAGAGGGCTTCTAATTACATACCAAGCAACGTATAGGTTTTACCCGATCCAGATGTACCATAAGCCATGATAGTAACGCACTCCTCGTCTATAATGCGTGGACCCACGCATTTGTCGTATATATCCCGCTGTCCAACTTGGCTATCGAATATGTTGGTGAAGCTGTAGTGCTTCTCCATGCGGTTCACATTATTGCTGCTGTTCTCGTTGGTGGCGGCGCTAGTGATCAACACATTGCCACACTCGGATATAATATACAATTTGGATGGAGATTCCACAGGTCGCAGGCGTAGAAATACCTGTGGCCCTGTCTCCATTTCGCTATCTATTGAGCTGCCACCCTCATCTCCGGTTTTCGTGTACTCCGACTCCGTGTCTGAGCAGTCGGAGGAGCTGTCGCTGGTTTCAAGGAGCACCTCGTCGAAGAGTCGCAGTTGTTTGTTGGGGCGAGGACGAAAACGGCGATCGATGCTGGGATCACGGGGCATTAAAAAGGAGCGCATTTCGCGCTTGCTAACCTCTTCTCTCTCCATTGGTTTGCGCACCGGTATCCTTTAATGTTTTTAATTTAATGTGTTCGTCACTTTTGGCGGTTTGACTTAAAGACGCTTGTTCACGAGTTGCCAACTGATTTAAACCTTATGCTCACTTTGCCAACTATTTCGAAGCTAGAGCTGGCGAGCAGAAAGTATCGAGTAATTTTTCTATCGGTCGAAAGCAATACTATCAATAAATCGAGTGATTTACGAACACCGCCAATATATCGAGTGAGTTCACAAAGGTGGCAGCTCTAATAACACGAGTGTCCAAAACATAAACATTATAAAGGCGGGATCTCTTGTTTATATAAATAAGTAGACTTTGAAATGAGTAAAAAGACAACACGTTCCGCAAAACCTAAGGTTGACCCAGATGCGGCGCCACAGCAGCAAAAAGCGTGTGCTATCAAGAAAGTCTTCTACATATCCAAAAAGTTACTTAACACCGATGACGATCAGCGAATGTGTTTGGAGCGATTCTATCATCCAGGCAAGGGGCAACCGGCTTTGTTTATAACATTGCAAGAACGGCAAATAATGGAGGTTCTAGAGTACGCAGAGCCACGACGCAGTTGGCTACTAAATAGTGAAGTCTGCTCCAATGGACGCATGTATATGACGACGCCAATAGACCCAACGTTTCTTGCACTGCATCATCTCCGCAAGCACTGCGCCCAGCGTGCAATGTCTCTGGATAGCATTAGCGTAGACGAGGCGGACACCAGCACAAACCGTCTGTTAACCAAATTCATAAACGCTGACAGTTTGAAGTGCGTGGCCGATGTGAAGACATCTGGGGAGCTTGTCTTCTATAAATATAACAAAGATCGAACGTTAGCGTGGCTTGCTGTGAAGACACGACAAGTTGTATCTGTGCTCAAGGCAAAGCAAGTCCATTGCGGCTTGGGTGCCAAGTCGCAGAACTTTGTGCGCAGCGAAAAGATTGTGGATGACAATGATGTCAAGGAAGTGGACTACTTACGCATGGCTTGCGACTATGTGGGTCGCTATTTGGATGCGAACTTGCATGCTGAACTAACGCGTTATCTGGACATACCAAGCGAGATTCAGGCTCTGGTCGAGGAAAACGCCACGGCAAAGAAGCGAAAATCTCAGCAAAGCCAAGCCAGTGCGAATAGTAAGAAAATAAAGCTCGCCAATGGCGAAGATGCTGCAACTCAATTAAGGAATAGCAGTCTGCTGGACAGCGATGATAACAAGGAGAGCATCACTTCGCCGCCAAGCACACTTGCACCGCTTAAGGAGCGCACCATGACGGCTATGGAAAAGGTTCTGGCCAAGAGCGCCAAGGGCAGCAAAAGCATTGCATCCTTCTTCAAAGTCAAATAGTTTTAAGTACTTCAATTAAGAATAATGTTACTTCAATGCGATTGTTCAATATACTCCATCAATTTTAATTTATGTAAGCAAGCGGCATTTTTGAAGTTCACTGACTTCTGTCTACAGTTTTGTCATATATCTTGTCAATTGGATTGTTTAATGTATTGTTAACATGTCTGGCGCGGCACTACCAACAAATTGGATAAACAAGTCGGCCAAGCTGTCACCCGCCACAAATTAATTACGATTGTTTGCATAGCTCTGAATATCATTTATGAGTTTTTTATCAGACGGGGCCTCTGCGAGAAAGTAACTGGAAATCTGACACCTTTAAATTGGATGCAGAATATTCAATATTAAAACGTTCCTTTTGTAAACTTTTTGCTAGACTCTTCAAGGAGCATGAACTTTGACGACTTTTTTTTAACGTGAAATTCGATTAATAGGCGCTAAAAATGCAGCCCTGCATTCCAAAAGAAGAGCATCCGCCTGTGAAAAGACACATCCCAAGTTGCTCTGCCCGTTAAGCGTTGCCACATCCTTATATAAAATTCACTGAAAAGGCTCTAGTGTAGCCCTGCTTGATAAAAACTTCAAAAGCGTTTTCATAACTGCGAGCCGTATCATAATAGTGGGCCACTTCTATTGTTTTCATAAATTTATCATTGATTATAGACAGCCTCTTGTATCAAAAGTTATTCTGAATATATACATATGAAATATTATGGGTAATTCATGTGTCTAAGTAATCAGCTTGTAATGTGTTGTCCTGTCACAATTTGAAATTCAGTTAGGCAGAAGCCTACCAGCAGAGCTTTTATTAAACGTCAACTGTCGAGTTTTGACATTTTGCAAATTCGTTTCATTGAAGATATAATTAGCAAAAGCGCAATGTCGATTCCAGATGATATTTTGAAAGCTGAAATGGTTTATGCAGATCCTTCAGAATTGCCAAGCACTTTGTTTGCCGGTGTTGACCCAGCGGACAGCAGTGTGGAGCAGCTCTTCAAGATGCCGCTGCCATTTAAGGAGCCCAGCACCGAGGAGAAGACTGTAATCAACAATAAAATCGAGGTTGTGTCGCCGGGGTATGATCTGAAGTACACGCTCGAGGGACATACGCGTCAGACTACAGCGGTTCGCTTCTCTCCCGGTGGCGAGTGGTTAAGCAGTGCATCGACTAATGGCGTACTCAATATATGGGACGTGGATACGGCTAAGCTGCACAATACGATGACAGGTCATTCACTGGGCATTAACGATGTGGCCTGGTCGCCGGATGGCAAGTTCATAGTCAGCTGCAGCGACGACAAGACCATCAAGATGTGGGATCCCCTCACTGGCCAGTGCCAAAAGTCATTCATAGGCCATAATAGATATGTGTTCTCATGCAGCGTCCATCCGCAGTCGAATCTGATAGCCTCAACCAGCTTCGACTGCTCCGTACGGCTGTGGGACGTGCGCAACGGCAAGGCACTGAATATGATCCTCGCCCACATGGATCCCATTTCGTCTGTAGACTTTAATCGTGACGGGTCTCTCTTTGTGACCGGCAGCTTCGATGGGCTTGTTCGCATTTGGGACACCATCAGTTGCCAAGTGCTGAAGACGCTCATCGACGAAGACAATTCCCCGGTGGGCTATGTGAAGTTTGCCCCGAATGGCAGATATATACTCGCCGCCTATCTGAACAGTCAGATAAAGCTGTGGAACTTTCAGAAGCCGAAATGCTTGCGCGTCTACAAGGGTCACATGAATCTCAAGTACTGCATCTCCGTAAACTTTTCCGTTACGGCTGGCATGTGGATCGTATCGGGCAGCGAAGATGCTTCACTGTATATCTGGAGTCTGCAGAACAAGGAGCTTGCCCAGAAGCTGCCCGCGCACACAAATGAGGTCATTAGCACCGACTGTCATCCCAAATTGAATCTGATAGCAACGGGCGCTCTACAAAACTCGGACAATCTCAAGATCTGGCAGAGCAGCGAGACTGTAATCGAATTAAATAAATAAAGTAATTTGTATTTAATTAGAACTTAATTACCATTTGTCTTTAAGCTAACTTTGTATTGAAATTCTTGTTATCAGCCGGCTCATAATATTGTAATTCGCTATGAAGCGATAAGATGATAATCGAAATCGCAAATCATATAATACTTATGAGTGTGCATATGTGTGTGTGAGTGTGCGACTATGCATATGTGTGTATGTGTTTGCACACAGTCTGGGCCCAGTCGAGCCCGCGAGGAAGCGATTAGCGCGTCATTCAAGTCCGGAGCGTCGCACTGAGCGAACGTTCGCTTCACTATTGTAACTTAACGCGGAAATAAGCACCGAACCTGATACTGAAGCAGAGAAATAAAATATCAATATATATAAGTAGACGTGAATAATCTTGTAAAATCGTTGAGCTTGCAACGAAGTTATGAGAGCCGACGATAATGAAGGTAATTTTATTGCCTTTGAAATGCGGGCAACAGGTGAGCGGGGAAAATTAAAAATTCCCCGATTCATGTTATTGTTGTTTATGGCTATTTCACGGCTGGTTAGAAAGCGTGCGGCAATCAATTGAATATCATTCAGCTAAATTGAATAACAAAAGACAGATCTCTCAATGGATCGATGCGACAATATTGTGTGAAATTTCAATTTAAATATCAAGATCTTAAGTTTGAGTTATAAAATTCAGCTTTCCTTCATCTTAAAAAAATCAATAGGAAATCTAATACAAATATTTTTGTTCTTAAGTTAATATAGATCACTTCTTAAATGCAATCGAAGTGTTTGCTAAATATGTATAATAATAACATGTGTTTATAGTGCATTATACCAGCTGCAATTCAAGTTCAATTGAGCTTTATCTCGAAGTCTATGTACATGAAATTCCCCAAAAGTCATATAACAATATATATATAATAGTAAAAATTGTACTATAAATAGCTGTTCAAACACTTTCTAATTCGAGCTTGAAAGATTTCTGTTTATTCACTGAGAGATAAGTATATACGTGACTTATTCGCAAAAAAAAAAAAAAAAAAAAAAAAAAAAAAAAAAGCAACCGCATTTATTTAAAAAATAAAAACAAGCTTATCTCTGTTTTAGTCGCGGCCTCCAGTAAATGTTGTCCAAATCAGTTGCTACCAGGTCAGATTTTCGAATCATTTGAATTTATGACTTAATAGAGGGGTCCGGATCGTAAACATGTTATAGACTTTAATGGATTTGTGACTTGCAGAGAATCTATACCATGAGCAGTTGCCGAATGTGGGCACGCTTATCGAAGAGAGTGGACGCAAGTTATGCCGACCCTCGACAATTGCCAGAAAATTTCCAATAATCAGCTGGCTGCCTCGTTATCGGTCGGCATATCTGGTGCAGGATTTCATAGCCGGCTTTACGGTCGGACTTACGACAATACCTCAAGCCATTGCCTATGGCGTAGTGGCGGGCCTGGAGCCCCAATACGGCCTCTACTCGGCCTTTATGGGCTGCTTTACGTATATTGTGTTTGGTTCCTGCAAGGATGTGACCATTGGTAAGTCGTCAATAGATATCCATAATCAGATTGTAATCTCCGCTAACTAACACACTTTGATAGCCACAACTGCTATTATGGCTCTGATGGTCAATCAGTATGCCACGATTAGTCCGGATTATGCGGTGCTCATTTGCTTCTTGGCGGGCTCGATTATTCTTGTGTTGGGACTGCTAAATATGGGCGTGCTCGTGCGCTTCATATCGATTCCGGTTATAACTGGATTTACGATGGCCGCAGCCACAACCATTGGCAGCGCTCAGATCAACAATCTCGTTGGCCTCAAGGGTAAGCTTTAAATTTCCCAATTTCTTATCGTCTAATCAGCTGAGAACTTTCCGAATTGGTGATTATTATGATGATTATGGCAGCTCGTATATCTGTGAAAATATCAAGTGCCGAATTCAACTGTAGGGAATTGTGTAGTCCTTAAGACTCTTTCATGTAGAATATGCATATGATAATTGCAATATCAATTCGCTGAGTTGCAGCCGAAGATAGAGATAAGAAACGGAGACCAGGAAGTACGTCGGGTACTTTTACAGCCTGAACTTATCTTCTCAAATTCAAATATCAACAATTCATTCAAAGGTGCAATCGAGTCAATTGCATTGTGCGTTATAGCTATATTCCCAGTGAAGAGCAGACGGAACTTACGGAATTATAAACAATTTATATAATATTTAACACTAGTTTAGTTAGTCAGCATAGAAACTCTAGCATTTCTATTTGGTATAACGAATATAGGAATGATATCGAAAGTCTTGAATCTCTTCTTTGACAGGCCCTTCGAATGATTTGTTGCCCTCGTGGAAACATTTCTTCACGCATCTGCCCTCGATCAGAGTCTGGGATGCCCTATTGGGCGTTGTGACTCTGATCTTTCTGTTGCTCATGAAGGTAATTGTAATCACTAATCTTTAATCTATGTATAATAATCTGTCTTGCTTTCATATAATCTATCTTGCTCTTTTGCAATTGCAATAGCAATTGACCAAGATCAAGTGGGGCAACAGGCTGGTCTGGAAGTATCTCTCCCTGTCGCGCAATGCATTGGCTGTCATCTTTGGCACATTCCTGGCCTACATACTCAGTCGAGATGGCAATCAGCCATTCCGGGTGACAGGCAATATAACAGCGGGAGTTCCACCATTCCGATTGCCTCCGTTTAGCACAACTGTCGATGGAGAGTACGTCTCCTTCGCAGACATGATAAGCACTGTGGGCGCATCTTTGGCATCCATTCCAATGATAGCCATACTCGAGATTGTGGCTATATCCAAGGCGTTTTGTATGTACATACCAAAGTGTTCCACTCTGCCTGATTATAATTTTGCTATAATTATCTAGCCAAGGGCAAAATCGTGGATGCCTCGCAGGAGATGATTGCCCTGGGCATGTGCAATATCATGGGCAGCTTTGTGCTTTCCATGCCGGTGACCGGCTCCTTTACCCGCACAGCCGTCAACAATGCCAGCGGGGTGAGAACTCCCCTAGGAGGTGCTGTAACGGGTACCCTTGTGCTATTGGCGCTCGCCTTTCTCACACAAACCTTTTACTATATACCCAAAACGACGCTGGCAGCGCTCATTATAGCAGCGATGATATCCTTAGTGGAACTGGAGAGGATTTCAGATATGTGGAGATCTAAAAGTGAGTGGAGGACCACACCTATTTCCAACACATTTGATATGTATGAATCTTTTCTGTAGAACGCGATCTCTTTCCCTTTGTGGTGACAATCGTTACATGTCTCTTTTGGAGCCTGGAGTATGGCATCGTCTGTGGCATCATAGCCAATCTCGTCTATATACTCTATAGCAGCGCTCGACCACAAGTGCTCATAACGCTTGAGAAGGTAAGCAGATATCCTATATCATATTATCTTTATTAAATATGTTAACCTTCCCCTTTATAGATCAATGGCCACGAAGTTGCCCTGGTCGATGTCAAGCAGAAACTGGACTATGCCTCTGCCGAGTACCTGAAGGAGAAAGTTGTGGCTTATCTTAACCAGCAGAATTGTAAAGTTCATTTGGCGGTGATCAAGGGTCAGGAAATTAATTCAATTGATTACACAGTGGCTATGGTAAGTTTAGTACATTAAATAGTATTTTATATTAACTAAATTAAATTTTAAATAATATCATTATAATTGCTTATGCAGAATATAATATCACTGTACGGCGATCTTAAGGCACTTGATTGTGAAATGATCTGCTGGAACTGGAATATTGGCTCTGCTGGCGTCGTATGTCGTCTCAAGACTGAAATGCGTTCCATATTTAAGTTTAACTACGAGCTGGAAGAGCTGATCGCCTCCCACTTCGACACATCGAATACAGCGTCGACTGTCACCATTGAACCTGCCCAGGGCCAAGTTAATGCGGCTTAGAAGAGACCTTGGTCATTCCATTCAGTATCACAGTATTTTATATATATATGTACATATATTATTCGAGAAACGTGTACTTAGATAAGCTATAAAAAGCCTTTGAGTAAAGAACTATACTACTTGTAAATCAAAAATTACTTCTTAGGGAATGGGCATAGATGGATGCTAATCTTGGAGTACGATAATTAAATACAACTGCTTACGCTCTGACCCATAATTCAAATGTCCATCCTAAGGATTCTAGAACCAGCCTAAAGGTACGGCGACAGCGTGTCTGCTGCATTCTCGTCTCATATTGTATTACGAGACGTTGGGAAAATGCTTCGAGGAACCTCACCCATTATGTCATAATAGTTGCATAACAAAATTAATTGAACTGTTAACCGCAGACATTCGGGCAGACAGTCTATGGGTACTCCGATCTCCTTTCTCCGAACAATTGAGCCGAGTGCAATATAATTTATTGCTTTCCCTCGGCACTTGAATGGGTCTGTCTACGCGTCTGACATAGAGCGAAAGAGAGTGAGTGAGAGAGAGAGAGAGAGAGAGAGAGAGGGGTGGAGTGAGAGAGAGAGAGAGAGAGAGAGAGAAGAGGCTTCAACCTTTCACCAGCTGGGCAGATAGTTTCTAGGAAGAGTTTAGTTGGGTTTTAATTGCGGCCTATGGGGGTATCAAATGCATAGTAGTATATATATTGACTGTAATTTAGTGGTATGCTTTATATGTAGTGGATCCTTAGATTCCTAATAAATTTGTTGAGTTCTTCTTCGATTGGAGCCAGCATTCATCTGGACTGGAGGTCACCTTAGAAGGTTAACCACATTTCGTCTGCCATCTGCTCACACTCCATGTGATGCTCCACAGCCTGACATCCGCCCAATACCTAATCTACACTTCCGCTATGGATCCTGTCGCATGATGTCTGCTTTCTTGGACTACCATAGTAAAAATGTCTTCGGAGTGCCATGCGGTGGTTGGACTTGTGAAAGTCGATATGTAAGAGAAAACATTCATATTTATATATGTATGATATCTTCTGACTCAAAAGATATGGAAAGATCTGTAGAGAAAAACTTCTCTTTTTTGACGATTATAAGATTTCTTAAATTATTATACAAATCAGCAATTTGAATTATTGATTCTTTAAATCTATTCAAAGATGTATTAAAAACGAAATAAACAATTTAATAATTTAAATAAAATGTTGCATCAATTCAGAGATATTTTGAAGTGGATCAACTTGATATTCATTTCACGTTATGTCAGTGGCGCGTGGGCTGTCAGGGTCATTCGTATCCAGATCAAACTCCAGAGTGGATTAGGCAACGCTATCAAATTTAGTACCAGGTGGTTCCAGCTGCTGCATATAGCACGCTTTGGGCTCACTTTGGGCATCCTTAACATATTCGTAAGGAGCCACAGAATATAAGACGTACCCGATAAACACAAATTGATTCAATTTGGCTAGCGTAAACAAGGAAACGGCAGCAGCTACCAGCTGGACCAATCTCGTGCCGCCCTCGGCCACGGAGATAGCAGAGATCGCACCATGTGTTTACGGCTTCCACCAATTGTAGCTGCCGCTGAGAACTATTACGGAACAGGGGCACGCCCACAAGTGCCAAAAATAGGCAATATGACGAGAGCAAGAGATCGGAGAGAGTGAGATCGAGAGGAATGAGTGAGTGTGTAAAAAGGAAGATGTTCCGAGCGATATATTCAGATGTGTTTTATAAGTGCTGCGAGACGGTTCAAACTAGACGATCTTAAGCAAGACGCGCTAGAGAAATTAGACTCTCAAATAAGTAAATAATTCTTAAAGATTGTGAAAGATTGTGTGTGGAGTTATCGGAAAATTTATAATTGAAAGCAATAGAGATTATCTAATGCCACGCAAAAAGCGCGCCTCCAGCCCACTGGAATTGTACGACGATGATTTCGATGAGGATGCCAGCTCGCATAGTAAGCACAATTGGGAGTTATCTATGTTAAATAATCTTCAACTAAAAAACTCCCAAAGGTTCCCAGCCGCCGGTGCAACGGAATGCAGCCAATGCCAGGGAGCGTATGCGCATGCGAGTGCTGTCAAGTGCGTATGGACGTTTGAAGACCAAATTGCCCAACATTCCGCCGGACACGAAGCTCTCAAAATTGGACACATTACGTTTGGCCACGCTCTACATTAAGCAGCTAATTAACGCCGTCGAGACAGGCAGCGGTAGTCCGAATGCCAATCCAAGTGCTGCCGCTGCTTCCATAGCCGATGCGCTGGATACGCGAAATCTGGCAGCAGATTGTGCCAGTTCAGCCGGCGGCACAGCGACAAATTTCAATTTCCATAATGCTGGACAACTCGGCATGGTAAGTCTCACTCGGCAAACTCTGTTAACTTTCTCGACCTGTGCCAGTGCCTGCGGCTATGGAGCGTATAAGTGATGTCAGTGGCACCACTTAGCGTTGCATTGGCAATGCGATGTACACCTATACATATGTACATATATGTCTACAATATATACATATTTCTATACACGCATCTTAGCTGCTGGTACTTGCAGCTGGACCGCGTCTTTTTGTGACAGGTGTCAGCGCTCAGTTATGAAAGACGGCGTTGATAGGCTCAAAATTCATTCGGTTTCTTGTCAGACATGCGACAGATCGCAATTAACCCAATTAAAATATCAATGAATCGAATATTATTTATTATTAGGAGCTGTAACGGCAATCCATTTACATTGGTAATTATCTGGCTATGATCTGAGGTGATCTGATATGGTAGTATTATAAAAGCCCCAAATTTTTAATTGCAATATTTCAATATTACTCTTACAGTTTCAAGTAGGTAAATTCATAGGTCAATTGTTTGCCTTTATAATATAATTTGAAAATATTTCCTTTCCTCCTCTGCTTGAGCATTTTTGTACAAACATAATCTAAAATCATATATTTATATATTCATTTTCTGTTGGGCAACATCTGTTCAAGTACTTCTATACCTTGCGTAGGTGTAGAGTCCCCCTTTCCAACCTCCTTACCAATTTTAAGTACAACAAATCACATTTTGTGATTTCAGTTTGTGTCTGGCTTTCCTGTAATCAGATACTTTTGTGAATTTCAAAAATACTAAATATGAGTGACAGACTCGCACGGAGGCATCGACATCGCCATCGTCGTCGCCGTCGCCTAGTCGTGGCGAGCGACTCGAGATGTGCGGCATAGGAGAGGAACATTGGTTATTTCTTCGCCAGTATTTCTTGTTATTTTTAAAGATGCACGACTTTGAAGCCAAGCCAAAGAGTGAATGAATGACATGCAGGGGAAAACTGTCGTCTCTGTCGAGTCTTAGCTAAATAGTCCGTAGTATGTAATTAAGGCAAATCAGCATTTTATAGTTAGAGACTGCTCAATTCGTAAATATCCTATAAAGAGATAGGGAACAACAGCAATCGGTGAACAAGCAAAGGAATAGGGAGGTTGAAAATATGTATATGTATTATAAATATAATATTTGTGGTATCTAGTTGTATTTTTAAATTCTAAAATATGCTATCGTATAGAGTCTCCACCTATCTGGGCGATTGGTTTTATATAGGCTATAAAACAGATAGACTTTCATTAAAGAGAGGTATAACTTTTCTTATATTCAAAGTATGATTATGTATAGTTGCATATTCCCTTATGCTTTATTTGCTTCTATTATGGAATAACCCACAAAATTTTATAAAAATTCTACCAATTCGAATACAGGCAATTGTTTATTCATTCACTGAAGTTGAATGCGTGAAAATTGTTGAGCAAATATTATATTCGGGCGGCGTCTTGTGCCCATATGGTGGCAGTGTTTTGTTTGCATTTGACAGGATCGTAGCGTAGCTTCCTAAGCAGCTACGGCACCCTAATTTAGCTCAGTCGCACGCGCCGCCTTTTGGCTGAGGGCTGGGAGTTTCAGAAAAGAGAGCGAGGGAGAGCGAGAGTGAGTGAGAAGTAAAGGAAAAGATAACATAAGAGGGAGAGAGAGAGACCATTGCAAGGCATTACCCATTGGTTAACCCAGGCTGCCGATGAGTGTCTTCTGTCTTTGGACTGTTTATGTTTTTATAGATACGTTAATGACGATGTTATTGTTCAACTATGAAAACATTTCATTCAAAGAGCCACTAAAAACAATCAAAATTGTATAAACAAACAATGGCGCTGTCGCTGTCGTCATATTGTTCCATTTATAGCTGTGTGCGGTTACCCCTTAACAACTCATTATATATCATACTTGAGACTGTAGTTTGAATCCAGTATTAAAGTTCTCACTTGGAAATTATTTATCAATTTTACAGAGCTGGCCATTTGAGTTCCATCAGCACTTACAACAAGGTCACAATCGGCACAGCAATTCCAACCTGACATTCAGCTCTACGCGCATAGATTGGCAGAATTCACAGATTCAAGCGTATCCCAAGACTGCACGCAATGAGCCGCAGATGGCAGTCGAATCTAACTATGGCCAGCTACACGAAGCGCATTGGTATCCCACTGAAATGGGGGGTTTGCAATTGGACCAGTCACGCTCCATTAATGGCTGCTGTGCTTATGAATCTTCTGGTTTGGCACAACATCAGCGGGGCATTACAATATCCAGCAGTCAGGCGAATAGCCTTTAGACATTTATATTGCTATGTTCTCTAGCCGAAAATCGTATTAAAATCGTGATTTTATTCTATTTKCTGTATGTATGTATGTTATGTAATTTACTAAGCCAAAGATTAGAATAGTGTTTTAAGCTGTAAAAAATTAGTCAATAAACTCAAGTAAATAAAAGTAACGGAAAATCGAACTGTTGATACATTTGAATTTCTTAACAGTCTGGCAGCGCTGTATGCGCAGTATTTCACGCTCCAGCCCTGTAGACAAACAGCTGATTGTACACAAACAAAGAGGCTCAACACAATAACAATAACGGATTTATCAACAATAGATTATGAGTATCCGCTCAGATGGCGCAACAACAAAAACTTGATTAACTACAACTATCGGCAATAATCTTTCGCAGAAGTTGACGAAAAAAATGAGTACATACATCTATATTTCTCAAAGTGCACGCGGTTAAAGTTCACTGAGGCGAGCAGATAAGATTCGAGCGAACATCCGTATGCATAAACTGTGCTTTCAAAAGCCAATACACATTGAGGTCGGCTCCACAATATATTTAGTTAGTACTCGCTCGTCGTAGAAGACACACGTGAAAGTTTTCTTTGTGTTTAAATGCCAGAGAGAATTGTTAAGAAATAAAACTTGATTTGAACCCGTTTCTGTTTGTTGTTGCTGATATATATTAAACAAAATGCCTGCATTGGAAGTTAATCCAGATTTGCAAAAGGAGCGTAATACGGCGACCTTTGATCCGCAAGAGTTTTCAATTTTTTGGGCTGGTGGCGTTGAGAAATACAAAGAGAAGAAAGCCTTGGGTAAGTCGACTCGCGCTTAAGCGTACTTTAAAATTTACTCAGTGCGATTAACTGGTTTTTTCTATAAGCTAGACTTAAAGAGCGAGTCTCTAGCTTGCTCAGTGGTAAGTCGCAGTTAAGCTGCTGTTGCAGTAGCATGACAAAGCAAATACAATGGGAGCTAACAGCGATATGTACATACAAACATGGCGCAATAAACAAGTTGTTGTCAAGTTAACTTTTGAACCTTGTTAATTAAACAGACAGGTTATATATTTTCGCTATGTGCCTGTTTTGGCAACTTTTCGGGCAACCCTTGACCGGCCCTCTTGGCGTCTTTGTTGTGATCGGTATCTTCTCTCTTTTACTCATTCATAATTAATCAGCGACGGTATTTAACCTCAACGATTTATGCAAATTTTACACTTAATAATCGGTATCGCATCATAAATGCAACAAGTGGAACTGTGAGACTGATAATGTAAACAAGGCTATTGAACTTTGTTCAAGTGACAGCATCCCAAACTAAATCGATTTCGTACATTTTCATTAGCGATAATTGGTAGACTTTGAGTTTACTTTTCAAGTCACATAGTTCATATTACTCAAGAGTAGTTAAGAATGTTATAAATCGTGCGTTCTTTTGATAAGCCTTATCTACATACGTCCATTCAATTTGGACTAATCGCTTGTAGCCAATAATAGAAAATACCAGTAGCTCGAGTATACGATTAATTGAAAGCTAGATAAACTACTTACGTACTTATGTACTTAACTACCAATTACAGAGAAATTGTTTCTCGAGGATCCTGCGTTGATGGATAAACTGCCCACATCATACATGTCCCACAAGGAGCTCTATGAGGACAGTTTACGCAAAGCCTGTGTCATTGGCGAGAAGATACGAAAGCTGCGTGCTGATGGCGAGGATGGCGTGGATACATATGCGTAAGTATTTTAATATTTATATTATTATTCATATGATTGATATATTTGATATGCTCTTTCAACAGTGCTCTGCTTGGCGGCTCATTGGGCGCTGCTTTGCTGAAGGAGGGCAATCCCATGTCGCTTCACTACGTCATGTTTGTTCCCACAATTATGGGTCAGGTTAGAGTTAGCTTCGCCTCAATTAAGACTTGGTTTAATGTGGAATTGATCTTTTTAGGGCACTATGGAACAGCAGGTCGAGTGGCTGCCCAAGGCTTGGGATTGTGAAATAATTGGAACCTATGCCCAAACCGAGCTGGGACATGGCACCTTCCTGCGTGGCTTGGAAACGCGCGCTGATTACGATGCCAGCACGCAAGAATTTGTGATCAATACTCCGACGATGACTGCATACAAATGGTGGCCTGGCGGCTGTAAGTAGCCTCCCAACTAGATAGATTATATCGAGTGACTTCAACTTGAATATTTGCAGTGGGTCACACGGCTAACTATGCTGTTGTGGTGGCACAGCTGTACACCAAGGGCGAGTTCCGTGGTTTAGCTCCGTTTATTGTGCAGCTCAGAGACATGGAAACGCATCAGCCTATGCCAGGCATTGACATTGGCGACATTGGCACCAAGCTGAGCATGAAGGGTGTCAACAATGGCTATCTGGGCCTGAAGAATGTGCGTGTGCCGCTGAACCACATGCTAATGAAGAACCAACAGGTGCTGCCCGATGGCACCTATGTGGCGCCCAAGAATAGTGTTCTCACCTATGGCACCATGATGTTTGTGCGTTGTGTGCTCATCAGGGACACTGCTCACAGCCTGGCCAAGGCATCGACCATTGCGACACGTTATTCCGCAGTTCGGCGACAGAGTCCCATTGATCCCAAGGAGCCAGAGCCTCAGATCATGGACCATACGACACAACAGCTGAAGGTATTCCCGCAGATATCCAAGGCAATTGTGTTTAAGATAGCGGGCGATACTATATGGAACATGTACAATGTACTCTCCGGCGAATTGGAGCAAGGCAACCTGGAGCGCCTGCCCGAGATGCATGCGCTAGCTTGTTGTCTAAAAGCCATTTGCAGCGCTGATGCATCAGCCGGCGTGGAAATATGCCGTCTCTCGTGCGGCGGTCATGGCTTCATGGACTGCTCAAATTTCCCCGCTATCTATGGCATGACAACAGCTGTCTGTACGTACGAGGGCGAGAACACGGTAATGCTGCTTCAAACGGCGCGTTATCTGGTCAAGGTCTATGGCCAGGCGCTGGCCGGGGAGAAATTGGTACCAACCGTGGCCTACATCAACGAAGCTATCAAGCTAAAAAAATTTGTTAATTTCGATTGCACGCTGGAGTCAATCGTGAAGGCATTCCAATTTGTGGCAGCGAAGTAAGTGCATTTCCATAAACATAAAAATATTATATGTAATTCAATCTAAATATTATGTTTATAGCAAAACACGGGTCGCCTATGAACAGATCGAAATGCGTCGCCGACAGGGCCACAGTACGGAGGTGGCCGCCAACCTCAGTGGCATCTTCTTGACAGGCGCCGCAGATGTAAGCAGGAATAATAATTATTATATGGCTCATTCATATACTAAATCTAAGTCGACTTTTAGCTACACGGACGCGCATTCTTGGCCCAAACCGCGTACACAGAGCTCACGGCTATTTCGAAACAGGTTTCGCCGGCTCTGGCTGACGTGCTAAAGGTGGTGCTGGAGCTCTACCTCGTCGATGCGTGTCTTAACCGCATTGGTGACTTTTTACGGGTGAGTAAGACACTATCTTATCTAGTTAAGATATACGAGAAAGTGCTATTACTAACCGGCACAAATTGTAGTTCATTGAGTTTACTGATGCGGATGTCACCAAATTGGAAATGCGATTAGAAAGCTGTCTGAAGCGATTACGCCCCAATTCCGTCGCTTTGGTCGATAGCTTTGATTTGCACGATCGTGTTTTGGACTCAGCACTGGGTGCATATGATGGCAAAGTGTATGATCACATATTTGAGTCCATTAAGAAGAATCCACTCAACAAGGAGCCGGTGAACGAATCGTTTCACAAATACCTGAAGCCTTTCATGAAGGCCCATTTGTAATATAATGTTATTTGTTTTCTTCCTTCGGGAGTATTTCGAAACTCTCATATGATTGTTATGTCGTCGTATTTGTACATATTATTAAACCTTATTTGTATATTTTATACTGTGCTACTTGACTCCTTATTGTGCATTCTCTCCCCAATATTGTATAGTCCAAAGTACATGTATTATGTGAAGTCTTGGTTGTGTGTTTTAATAGAGCTTACACTAAACGCTTTATTAAAGATTGGTTTTAATTATAGTTTGTTAGATAGAGAGTGTGACTGCAACACATATCCTCAATTAGCAGTTCTTGACGCTGGCTAATTTTGATCTAATTATCGAATGCTGAATAGAGCACAGCCTTAAAGCCCTCAGTAATGTCGCTTATGAAGCACCAGCTGGATTCTTGGCGTTACGTTGTGCATAGAGTCGTCGCAACAGTCGATTGCCACAGAGGAATGTGAATACTGCGATTGGTATGAGCAGGCGCAGTGTCTGGAACATGTTCAGTCGCAGCCAAAAAACAAAGAAGAGCGCCAAGATGCCACCAAAGCCTAAATGGAAGCCAATCGTGCTGGGTGACCACGTAAAGTTCGACACATTTATGCCCAATTTAGCCCAGAAGACAAAGAGCAGGACGAGGGGCGTTATGCACAGGCCAGTGAAGATATCCGAAACAATGCGGGGCGGGCGCTTATCGGGCACGCGGAATTGATGCTCGATCTCTGGCAGAGGTCCATTCACATGGCTGGGTTTGACATCTGTGGAAAGTATTGAATTTAATTCGAATAAAATAATTATGAACAACAACTACACTTACCTCTGTCCGGCTGATTAAATTTCAGCTGCACATCAGCCAATAGCCACTCGAAGGAGTTGGACAACGAAGCATCGCCGACAGTCAGATAAATGTTATACAAGCCATTTTGGAAATTGAAATTCTTGCCCTGATTGCCCACGTCCATGTCAAACTTGTATGCCTTGCTGCTATCCTGTTCAGCTACGAATATGATCTCTTTGTCTGTTTCCTGGTTATGCAGACGCACAAAGGCCTGATGCACTGCAATGGGTTTGCTGGTGCTCTCATCGACTAGCAGCGCTTTAAGTAGCAGCTTCTGTGTGCTGTCCGCCGTGAGGGTATCCTTCAGCTTGTTTGGGTAGCTGACGCTTTGCTTACGTGTGGCTGCACTGGCATCGGATTCGGCAATGCCCACTTCTAGAGTCTGTACCTTGACACGTCCCAAAACCTTAAATTGCAGTTTTTGTTTATAAACGCCATCACCGTTCAACTCCGCCTGGTATATGCCGCGACCTGGCTTCAGGCTGCTCAAATCCGCCGCATAGGTGGTTTTGTCTGAAGACTTTGATACCAACTGAATCTTTTCTGCCAACACAGAGCCATCCTTCTTCACACTAATCTTTGCACTGAGGCTCGTCACGGCTGGCGACAGGGGTTTGCCGAGCAAATCAACAATTGCTACATTCAGAGTTGGCGACTGGGCCTCCAGTTGTCCATTTCCAATGAGCTGTATGCAGATGGGTGATACTTTGTCCGCGCTGCTGATTGTTTTTAGCGCCTCAATTAGCACATGAGCTCCCTTGGCAGTTTGCACCGAGCGGCGACTCAGCAAATAGTTAGCAAATTTAACAGCTTGGTCAGCTGTAACAGGTGCTGGCTTGTTAAAAGCCTTCGACACACCAAAAACGCCGTTAAGTATCAAGGCGGTGATGCTTAGTCCACCCTCGAATTGCAGCAGTCGGCCATCAACTTCGTCAGCTTGAACAATAGCGTCCTCGGTGCGGTCGGCAATGAAACTGGCACTAGGGCCGAGCTGGACAGCCACATTAAATGCATAGCCCAGACCGCTGAGCGTGTCATCCTTTTTCAGCACCTCCTGCAAGCGTTTCACAATTTTCGCCTGCGCTGCCTCGCTAACCTGGACGCCGAGTGCTTTGTGCGTCGCTAAACGATAGTAAATTTCCTGTGTGGTGGCCAATTCCGAATCCAACGAGCTGTAGACCTTCGACAACAGTGCTTCAGGGATCTTTGTGGAGCAACGCAAATTTCTGTTGGCACCAATCAGGTAGTAGTCCTTCTCAAAGTTCTGCAAGCGGGGCAAAGGTTAAAATAAATGAAAAACTCATCTATTTCTATACCTACATTTAGTTTGGATTCTGTATGTAACGTAACAATCTTTTTGCAGAGCGTTTCCTTTGTCGCAGCATCAGTTGTCTCAATGTTTAGGCTGGCAAAGAAAATCGCTTGTAGATCGTTGGAACTAAGGCCATCAACAAAGACTTTTTGCAGGCGGGTGAGATCCTTTGGCCCCAAATGGCTATCGACGGTGCGCGCACTCCAAGTCGTTGCAGTGACGCAGAGTACACATAGAAGCGTAAAGGCTATTGTAGCAGAAAGAAAAATCAGTATAATACTGTGGAAAAATGTGTTGGACAAGTTTCAAAAACGCACAGTCAACGTCGACGCCGGCAAGTGAGACAGAGAACGAGACAGCGCGACAGCGCCTATGCCGGCGTTTCTGCTGCACACACACAAGGACCCCTTCACTCTGACATCAATTTATAATGGTAAATTATGACTTACCTATTTTAAGCATTGTCCTATATGTGTAGCGTTGTGAAACGCACCTTATATGCTATAGGATAATAAATAAAAAACGAGTAAATAGCCCTGCTCCGCCTGTTTCAGCTTCGATATTTTTTACAGACACGTCAGCGACAGTGTTGTCTATTAGCTGTGAACATTAGAGATGGCATTACAAAACACACACAAAAAGTGTGTACACACTTGCACGCAATGTAAACTAGTCGTTTTATCGATTAATGTGATGGCAATGTTATGCGTTAATTTAAATTTACAATTTTATGCGTTAATTTAGATTTAATTTTTATTTATTTTTTATATCTAAATGTGCATTAAATAAAATTGGTTATTGCTGATTCGATTCTATTAATTAACTTAAACTAAACTGTATTTAATTTACGCATAAGCTCGTTGCTATAGTAATGCAAAATTTCACACAAAACATTCAAACTGAACTAAATAATAACGTGAATTTCTATTTACTGTCCAAACTTCTCAGTACATTCCTGCAATGGCCTGGTTATGGAATATTTAACTCTAAAAGTTTTCGTAGGATCGCCCTCATGATTCCAAAGAGTTATGGGCGTGGTACAATACAGAGGATATTTGTTAATACGCAATTCCAAACGCTCCTCGTCCTCTGGCGGCTTATCTTTGCAGAAGTTCTCAAAATATTCAGTGTGATTGGGTCCCAAATCAGGTACAACTATATTCTGTCGATTGTATTCATCTAGAAGTTCCTTCCACAGAAATTTCTTCATGAGATTCGCCCGCGTAGCTGTAATAATATAGTCGCAACTTACTTAAACCGAACTTTTATTGATATTTTAGGCAGTTAGTTACTAAGTATCTTATTTCTGTAAGGTACTCCAAAACTCTCCTGCGTTTCGGTGCGCTCTGCAATGCAGGGTCCTTTGCCCTTGATGCGAAAGCTTTCGTCCTGATCCATTTTAGGCGTTTTTTAAGGCTAACGAAAATAATTTATTTATTTAGTAAATAGGTTTGTGATGCGAGCAACGAAAAGTGTTTGACTGAATGCTTCGGCAGGGCAAACACATTTGTAGCTTGACAACGAGGCAGCTAGGCAACCGACTGCTCTGACTGTTGAGGCGGCGCCTCGTCTTCCTCGACGATGAGCGTCACGTCTTTGGGACGAAGTATGCAGTAGTAGACGACAATGGTGGCGAGGAACAGAATGCCGCTGTAGACAATCCACTCCCAAATGAAACCAAACCACCAGGATTCGAATTGTTCGTTGCCATACCAAATGGCTGTCATTGTTATGTTCTCCGCCAGCACGAGCACCAGATACGAGATATACCAACGTCGTATACTCTTGAAGCATACTCGCAGCTCGATCAGCACAAAAATGTAAATGTAGCCAAGCAGCAAGTAGAACAGACAGCGACTCCAGCTAACACGGCAGCGCGTCTCCAGCGCCAAGGCGGCCAGCATCAAGGCGTAGTGCACGCCCACCACAATAAAGAAGGCGCGCGGGTAGAAGACGCAGAAGGTGGCCAGCGACAGCATGCGCATTATGATGAAGGCTATCCAGCCGAAGAAGGCAACGGTGCGGCCAGCGAAGTCATCCTGCTGGATGCCGTTCACAATCTTTGTGGGCCGTGGAAAGTAGAAGTCGACCACGTCCTTGGGCGTCAAGGGCGTGCCCTTTGGAGTCTGTGCCACCACCAAGGGCGTACGCTCATCGGAGTTGGGCTCCTCATCCACACGTCCAATGAGCACTTTGGGTGGCCGTGGCACGTGGTCCTTAATGTATAGCTGAGCATTCACAAGCAGCATATCCTTGAACGTCTCCAACTGTGAGAGGGGACGTGAAATGCGTTTGCTTCTTCTGTATCCCGTATCCGATTCAGTGCGTCGCAGATCTGGCGCTGCAGGCGGATCATTCTCTGTAGGCAGCCGCAGCATGGGCAGCGCTGCTGGCGCTGTAGCTGGTGGCGGCGGCGGAGCTGGCGTCTCTGGCACTGTGTCCAGCACCTCAATGCTATCCAAGTGCTTTAGCTCGTCGCGGTGTAAGTGCAATTTGGGTCGAGCTTGGTGCATCTTATCATCGTCTGTGACATTGCCAGCAGCAGTGCTTGAGGGCGGATGTAGCATAGCTATTATCTCCAGCTTCTCCACAGCGTCGTTATCCACTTCATCGTGTCCAGCTACGTGCAACTCATGGCTGCCAACTGCTGACGTCTCAATCTGATTGCCCGATTCCTGACGGGCATGGAAGTTCGCCATGATCTTCTCCGATTGCGGAAAACTTGTGGCCACTGAACGCTCCGACTCCCGTTTTCTGCGCTCCGCCTCTCCGCATAGCCGCTCATTCTGCTCCAGCCGGCAGCGTTGGGCTTCCACCTGCTGCGGCGTTGCCCAGGGGTAGTTGCGACCCACGCGCCGCTGACTCTCGATGCGATGATAGGTGGTAGTAATTCCAGCCAGATCAATGGCTGCAAATACCAGACACATACTCTGCAAGGTGGCTACAAAGGAAGACAGTTAGCCCAACCATGTGCCGATTGAGGGCAAATCTCTTAACTCACTTGTCTCATAGTTGCGAAAGATGTCCTGGGTGAGCATGTGGTACATCTGCAAGATGATCTGTGGCGCCGCCTGTGCATATGCCTGGATGAGCAGATATAGCTCAATGTTGGAGGTTTGCGTTACCTTCCCTAAGCACTTCATACGCTCCACGTCATCATCCGCATGGTACAACGCCTCCACGGACCAAAACAAGCGCATGGTGAACCTGGTTTGCGTATTATGCAAATCAGAGACTCCTCAAATGTTTCATTAGTCAATCTATGACTCACCTGTAGACTACGGCGAATGGGAAGAACAGCAGCTGCAGCAAACCCAAGCTGCAGCCCATACACTTACTCCGACTGGCGCTCGCGCTGCTGCGCTGCTCCCTGGAGCTGAGCACCAGCACATAGGTGAGCAGTGGTGGCAGCAGCACCAGCACCAGGGTGCCAGCACCATAGCCCGGCTCATGCCTACGAAAGTGCTGATAGCTCAGGGCCAGGTCGGTGGAGGTTTGCAGCATGTACACCAGGAGCCCCAGGCATGTGGGTATTATGTAGGACACATAGATGCGAGTGCGACTTCGTATCGTGTAGCCCAGGATGTGACCTGGCGGACTGGCTGCATGGCCCAGCTCCGTGGTCATATTATCCAAAGAAACCAAATCAATCTATATCCTGGGTGATTTCCGTTCGAGTTTTCGTTCAACTGCGTTTTACATGTTTCAAATGCGAAATTTCGGATGATACTACGGCTCCTATGAGTAAGCAACGCTCTCTGGGCACGCTTATCAATTGGGCGTATGCGTATGTGTGCTTAGGGCGCAGATTAGATAAAACCGCTTGAATGAGTCTCGTGTGGAGAACGCCAAGGTTTGTTTATGTTTGCAAGCGCAATTGTTGAGAATGTGCAGGGAGAGGAGCGGGAGAGAAGCGTTGAGAGTGGTTAATGCAGGTTAAGTATGCCTCTATTAATTTGTATCGTTGATGGTTTTTTAGTTGACTGGAGCTCTATGCATTATGCATACGAAAGTGAGTAGTTAGAGAAATTATTATCTGAAGAGCATCTATATATGCAGATCTAAGCCCCTAAATCTATGGGAGAAGCATTCCGATGGAATGATATATCTGGAAAAAATAAATATCCGCTACCCCCGTTTAGTAAAGAAGAAGAATATATATTAACCCACCCAAAATACTTTATAGGAATATCATACTTCATAATTGTATATAAGTAAATTCTTTATTTAATTGCGATTGCTTGTTGAACTTGCCTAAGAATCATACCACGTCTTTTTCATCCAATTGGAAGGCTTGCATGGCTCATCCAGCACCACGAACGAATCCTGTTGACTCTCTGTGCTCTGCTTGGAACGGCGACAGCCCACGGCATACTTGGGATTGCCCTCAATGATGGAGGATTTGTCACGGCACTTGGCCGCATTCTGCAGCACGGAGCCGCGTCGTCCATATCGAGCTGGCTTCTTGGCGCCACCAGTGGCCACATCCTCGAAGCTGGGCACCACGGGCTGGGCTGGCGGGGGCGCCTCCTTCAGCTGGCGCTGTCGCGCGGGCCGTCGCTTCGTCTGCACCTGCGCAGCATCCAGCGAAGAGTCCGAGCTCTTGCGCAGATTACCAGGCGGAGCAATCAGCTCACGTGAACGCTCTCGGTCCCGTTCCCGCAGCTGGTAATTGTATTGGGCGCGTCGATACTCGGGTGTGGCAGTTAGCTCATCGGCTGTCAAGCAGCTGGCAGCGGGCTCTCGATCCATGCGTGGACTTGTGCTGTTGGCGGTGGCGGTGGTGGTGCTGGGGGTGTTGYTGTTGTTGTTGTTGGTAGTGTTCTGGTTGCTGTTGCTGGTGGGCAATCGAAATGAGGAGACGGGCTTGCGCACCACGGGCCGCGATCGTGGAAAGTCCAGGTAGTTGTTGCGATACTCTGGATTGAATTCGATCTTGCCACGCAGACGCAGGTACGGCTCACGCACCTTGCCACGCTCCGGCATCTCGGTGATGTGCGGATCACGGAAGCTCTCATAATACTCGGGCACCTCCTTGGTGAATTCGCCGCGCGGCCGCAAATGATCGTCCGTCTTGAGGGGCTTCTCTTTGGCCATGTGCTTGGGTGGGACATTGAACTTATCGCGATACTCGGGCAAGTCGCTGCCGCTCTCCACGGGCGGCCGCTGCTCCTGCTCGGAGCCAGAGACGCGCAGATTGTCGTGCTTCTTGATGGGCGCACTCTTCGAGTAGTTGGCATACATCTTGAAGCTGTCCTGGTACTCGGGCACCGCATGGAACTCGCCCTGCATCTTGATGCTGCTGATCTGCGGTATCGAGTGCGCCTTCTCGATGGGAAACTGCTCTACGAACTGCCGCTTATACTCGGACGGCGTTGGCTCGTACTGTGTGCCCTGTGCCCGCATCTGCAGATGACAGCGCTGCTGCTCCTGGGCGGCTATGTCACGCTTAAACTTGTCGCTGGCCAAGCGATTCGATGGCTGCTCTTTGTCGTCGCGAAACATTTGCCGGGGCAGTATCTCAGCTCCGCTGTCCACCATGGGGTAGGTGAGATACGATGAGCTCTTCATTACCACCGGCTCATTCGCGCCACCCAGCTGCAGGTTCTCCGGGTTGCGCACGGGAAATGTGCGCGAACTGAAGGAGACAACATCAACATATATTATGTATTTACGATCATATATAGAGAGAGAGACGATTGCTTACTACTTCAGATCCTCGGGCGTATACCAGTGATATTTATCCTGATGCTCCGACAGCAGCTGCATCAAGCCCTCCAGCCGCAGCGATGTGGCACGCCTGAGCAGTGTTCGGGGGTGGGCGTGGGCGTAGGCGTGGCCCTGGCAACAATAGTGCTTACGGTACTCGGACTTCAAGGAGCCAAAGGACAACACTGGCGCCTCGCTATCATACAGACAGACGTTGCTGTGTGTGTGCTGCGGAAACGGCTGACGGCGACGGAAGAACTTGAGGTCATCGACGGCGAGATGCTCGTGCAGATGTTTGATTGTGAAGCGATCGCTGTGCCTCTGGCTGGCTGCGAGGTCTGGCTCCGAGAACGAACGGTTCCAATTGAAATCCGCCTCGACACTGCGGAAGGAATGTATTGTTAGCCAGAAATTGGCCTGGCAAAATCACGATTCTGGATTGGGTGGGGGCAGCCAGGGAGGGGRAGTCTTGGCTACGTTTGGCGTTGGCGTTGGCGTTGCCATTGGAACCAAATAACAGGGAATCGAAATTAAGTCGCACAGAATGCCAACAAAAGCACAAATATGCTATGGGTAAATTCCTAGGAAACGGCGTGCCCAACTAGGAGATACCCTATGTGGAGTTATTGATGGCAAGTCAAAAATCTGCTGTGAACAGTTAAGTCAGACGGGTGAGAGCTGCTTACGTCAAGGATTCGGATGTGAGAGACGCATATGGAGCGCCAATTGAGGTGATTGAGGGTGACATACTATGGAGCAATATACTCTTCCAACTCCATTATAGCAGAGACGAACACATATTTGCTGTGATAGTATGCCTTAGCCCAAATGGCGCCTTATGAATAATACTACCAATGCGCCTTCTAAGTTTCTAGCTAGGAACTCCTCTGAAGGAATGTTTTCATAGCGTGCCAGCACGCACACAACAAACACACATACATACATAAGCAACTTGGCACACCTGCTGGCATGTGTTGCTAGGCACATACACACACACACATCTAATAGACAAACAGACAATAAAGCAAATTGCAACAAATTGGAAAATGTTTTTGTTTGAATATTAACGAGAATCAGAAGGAAAAGGATTCGTTACCGCTGCTGCTGCTTTTGCTATTCAAAATCAATAGATGTCAATTACGTAGAGTGCAGCCATAAACAGTGCAGCTAGCCCACCTGCCACATGAGCAATGCCTTAAAGCGGAAATTGGTTTTGCTTTTGCAATTGCCAAGGACTCATTAGAATTGGCCATTAAAAGTGGATAATTACAGTGAGGCAGTGCAGTTTGTTAATGCATACACCTGTGTAGACCCCACACCATCCCACTCCACCGTGCTGTTGACCGTTGCCTCGCATGCATATGGAAATATGCCCACCTGTTGCAATGGGGCTGCTCCAGTTGCTGCTGCTGCTGCTGCTGCTGTTGTTCTTGCTCTCATTTATGGCTGGCACATTTGCATATTTAATGGTCGCAGCATTTGCATATATGCATTTGCAGCTATTTCTTGCACTTCCGATGTGTAAAACCATCAATCTTAACTTGGAACGCTGTGCGCAAATGCCAAGAGTGTCAGGCAGCTGGCTGGCGGGGAGGGAAGGGGAGGACTTAGCAAACGAAGCGAATGAGTTTAGGATGATATCATGGCATTTAATTGATATAAATATATGGGCAGTAGATTAAGAGGAGCTAGAGTAGCAGATTGTGAGAGATATAGATAGTGACACAGAGGGGCAGAGGGAGAAGGAGACGAAGAGAGAGAGAGAGAGAGAGAGAGATAGATAAAGGGAGGGGCAGAGGCAGAAAGAGCTTAACAGATAAACACTGAGGGACAGAGAGAAAACAAACATCGGCAAGGGGAGACGGGGTTTGCCTGAGAGAGAAAAGTAAAAGACAGTGGGAGTCGAGGATTAAGAGAGAGAGAGAGAGAGAGAGAGGGAGAGAAAGAATAAAAGAGACTTTTATCTAACTTTTTAGACAAAGATAAATGATAGGATTCTCGGAGAGCTAGGGCAAAGCTGTATACGCTAAGTGGTAGAAGCTGTAAGGGAAAAAGTATAACTATATAACTTAATCATAATAATTATGATGAATATCATATCCATGATACTGTATGACATTGAAAATAATAAATTTACATGCTAATAATAATGATTGATTTTGATATTGATGATAATGAGTCCACTGACTATTCATATATAGAATATAGTGCAAACTTTTACCCAGCCAATATCAGAATCATGCACCTGCCTAACAGGCACCTGCCACCGTCTGAAATACTTTCCACCACGCCATGCCCAATCCAAACTTAGTTATGCATACTAAATTCACTTAAAAATAAATTCGCATGTTCAACTTAGCGCATTATGATTTCTAATCAAAATCGTGCCGTCAGGTGCTCAGCGTCAGCGTCGGCTCGGTATCAGTTTTTTGTTAGTGGCCAAAAATGAAATAAAATAGAGGGAAAGGGTCTGCTGTCAAGTGCAGCTGTAATTGCGTGCGTGACTTGCGCTGGCTCGGAGCGGAGCGGAAACGGAAACAGACACAAGCCCAAACGCAAGCAACTGCAGCGCGGCCAGCTGCGAGTGTGAAAGGCGCCCAAATCATGTCGAGCCCAAAACTTTTAATAGCAACAGAGTGCCAAAAGGCTGACCCAATTCGCCGCCCACCTCAAGGTAATAAATGAAAGGCGAAAAATAAGCGAAAAGTGCCAAAGCAACGAAATGCAAATGCCCTGCAAATATTGAGAGACTCGGTTATATCTTGGGAAAGTGAAAGTTTGTTTTATAAATCATAGCCATTCTAAATGAAAGTTGATTGATGATTTTCAATTCAAGTAGTTTTAGACTTAATATTTGCAAAATATACAAATCCAGGAATCAAGCTCTAGAATATTAAATAGATTCCAGAGCGTCGAATATATTCGAGATACTTAAATATATTCCAGAGAATCGAATATATTCCAGATTTAAGAGACACAGATGATCAAATCTAGTCCTCCTGTGGTCTTACAAAGGAGAAGTCTTCTTTTATGTCTAGCTCATATTCCTTCAACTTATTAGCCAGTTCAGTTGCAGCAAGGGCATTTGAATGTCGACCTGTTCTACGTTTCCTTTTTGTTTAGTTTTCTTTTCAATTTAGTTTTTCGTAACTAGTCCGTCCAGTAGTGCTCTAATCTTGACAATGCCAAATGACCTTTGAAGGCTTTTGCTATTTTTAACTCTGTCGCCACAGGCGTAACGCAAACCCATTTAAATATGCTAATCAATTGGCAATTACGGCACTGAGAAGGAATAACAACAATAACAAGAAGTACACGCAATTCTCTACACATAATTATATAGATTTATGGGCGGCATTTTGCAAACATTTGCATGTCACGCCACAGGGCGTATACGTAATGCAGGAGACATGAATGCGGCATTATGTTAACGTGAATGCATCGCCCAAGGCCATGGACAGACATGCAGTGCCCTTCAATAAACATATTCGAATAGCGTCTTGTTTATACTCTACCCATCGCTGGCTTTCCAGTCCATTTTTGCTGTTTCACTTTTCAGTTTTCACTTTTCACTTTTAGTACTTGGCACACGGCAGCACTTGAACCAGAAATGGAAAATGTCTGGGTGTAAACATGTTGGGGCTTAAAGCTCGATGGCCACTGTCCATGTCCAGGTGGTAGCAGTAGCCCCGCGGCAGAGGAAGACGTCGCCCCGCGCGACTAACTAAATGCCTCGCGCTGTTCGAGCGCCAACAGCACGACTTGACCACACGGATCGTAAATCCCAACTGAGCCAATGTACAACTTCACACGCCAAAAACTTTCCTGCCAGCTGTGTTTGCATGTGTGTGAGTGTGCGTGCTGTGTGTCCCTGGGTGCGCGCGAATCACGCTGTAGTAGTAGGTGTCAGTCAGTCAGGAGGCAAAGCACATGCCATTTCATGGCATAATGCAGTTGATTGGGTCCCAGCTGCTGGCTGTCAGCGTTTCGCGTGTGTCCTGCATGCATCCGTAATGAAGTCGCACTGCTGTCCTAATCCGCCGACTGCTCGACTGCTCGATAGCCCGATGGCCCCCCGCTAACGATTCGCAACGCAATTTTCAATCTGGATAAATTATTTCCGCACAGCCCACACGCAACAACAACAAAAGCAACAGCTCCTCGACTGCCGCCTTTCAATTGTCATGAACTGGGCGCCATTTCCGGTCGCCCATGTAGGTCAAGTGCAAAGCAATTGTCGGACGGAAATGTCGTCTATTTAAGGGTAAATTTGATTTTAACCATCGTGTTACTTCGTTTTATCAAATCAATGTTAACTATGCGTTCTTGAGCAGCTTAACGAATTGCTACTTGGTTTAATTAATGATACATCAACAGCAGATTTCAGTTGTCAGATCTTAGAGAGCCCCTCCCAGCGATCCGGCACGATATTGAAATAACGATCCATGGCATCAATAAAGCGCTGCTTATAGGGCTGTGGCGCCACAATGGTCGGCTTGCCCATGCCGCCGCCCAGCAGGCCGGTCTGCTTCAGCATTGACTCCAGTTTCTTGTCCAGCGTAAACGTGCGTATATAATCTAAGAGAGAATCGACAAGAAATACTTAAGAAACTTTAGAGCTGTGTGTTGATTCAGACGCACCTATTATGCCCAGTACGAGCATATTACGTTTGTCATCCAATCCCACCAGCAGGGAGTAGTCCATGATCTCGTTGCGCTCCAAGAACGAGGCATCCCTTTGCAAGGCATCCCGCAGCACGGTTTTGCTGTGCGACAGCACGTACAACGGCTTTGACCAGGACACTGCAAGGCAATTGATTTATTAGCTAGCAGCTATCATCGCACTGACCCTTGCTGCACTTACTCTGTACTAGATTCTCGTCGAGCAGCACAATCTCGCCATTCATATTGGTGGGATCGACGAGGCGATTGCGCTCAGAGCCTTTCAAGTCAAACTTATCGGATATATCGCAGCCATAGAATAGATTCTCCATCACCAGCAACGACTTCTCCACAAAGGAACTGCAAGAGCAGGTGAGAATGAGTATTTACATGGTAAACAGTTGGTTTCACTTACTCCTTCTTTTTAATGCTGACTTTGAAGACGCCAAAGATCTTGGCCAGCAGCGTGGGCTGCTGCTGCTGCTGCTGACACTTGGCTATGTACTCAAAGTACTCCGGCGCAAAGTTTTCGAAGAGTGCCATCTCCCTCTTGCCCATCTCCTTAAGTACGAATCGATCATCTGGAAGTTAGCCAACATTAGAGAATTTCGAATAGACAGGGGATGTACGATATATGCTCACCCAATGTTTTGCAGAATCGTGAGCCAGATTTGCCGCCACGTGCCTCCCATTGCACGCTGCTGGAGAGGCTTCGCGCCAGCGCAATGCGTGACTCCTCCTCGGCGTCCAACTGCTCTTTCAGCGGCAGGCCGGACACATCACTGGGCTTGCGCACGATTTCGATGTCGGAACCGTTGCGATTCTGTGAGATTCTTAGCTCTTCGCGCATCTTACTCTTCTCCAGCCGGCGATAGAGCGTCCTATCCAACTTGGGCGGACTCAGGCATTTGGCGCGCATCGCATCAAACTCGCGCGCAAAGTAGATCTTACACTGGAATTGACTGCTGGGTCCGAAGGTGAGCGTGACATGTGCACTGGGAGGCTGGGGCTGTGGTTGTGGCTGTGATTGACCTTTCGCCTTGATGCGCTCCTCGGAGTCCACACTAGAAACTGGCTCGTCCGCATCGCTGTCCAGTTGCTTGTGCTTCGGCTGCGGACTCGACTGGGCATCGCCGCTGGCTACGTCGGCAGCATTGAGACCAGCTAAAGAGCGCTGATACTCCGGCGAGGTGAGGCTGTAAGCAATCACCGAGCTAAGATCGTTTTCATGCACCACCACGGGTATGGAGCCCATGGGCAGAGTGAGATACTCCTGCGCTGAGAACGGGCTCTGGAGAAGATTCGACTGGCTATTCGTAGTCTGACGCAGGGTGAGTAATCGCGACTTGATGGACTTCTTCATGTTCACTGTTGAGGCCAGCATCTGGTCAACGGTCAGCTTCTTGTCCGTATCTGGATTATCTTCGCCGGAATACTCGACTGCTGCAGTGCCGTCCGATTGCTGGCTGTTAGCTTTGCTCTTGGCCAGCTCCTGGCTGGCAACGGTGTCCGGCTGCTCCGGCCGCAGCTCCTCGGTGCATATGGTGCCAGCATCCACGTGATGCGGTTGCTTGGCATGCTTCTGGGCTAGTTGTTCGATCTCGTGCAGGCGCGGACCCCACAGCTCAATGTTCTCGGCCAGCACACGCTTGGCCATGATGAGGGCGTCGGCTATGTCATACGAGTTGACCGTCTGCTCCGTCAAGAGCGTATGCACGATCTCCACCTTTTGCTTGAATATGAACTGATCCTTGGTGAGTGTGGCCTTCAGCGTGGATACCAATGGTGAGTTCTCCTCCTCGGAGGCCAGGTCGGCAATACGCTCGTGTATGCGCGTATATACCTCGTGGCCACGTATCGAGAAGCTCTTGATCTCCTCCTGCACTTGGACGCCAATGAATGGCTTGGGCAACTCCAATTGCAGCGTCAGCGAGGGCAGCTCCGTCTCCCAAACCTCAACAGGGGTGTACTGAAACTTGGCGCCAACGCCACGGAAGCTGAAGTGATGCACATAGTCCCGGTGCAGCGAATGCTCGCATGGACTGCTCTGCTCAGTGGCTCCACTGCCAGGCTCTGTGAGCGGCCGCCGTACGTAGGCGTGGCCGTGGAAGCGCAGCTCCAGATACTTCGCCAGGGAGAGCCGCTTGGCTGCATCCGAAAGCGGCACAGCAGGCGTCGTTGCATTACATTTGCTGCACCAGGAGGTGAAGTAGATGCGCTTGGGATCGGAGCGAGTCAAGTCATCGGTGAGATAGACATGAACACAGCCCAGCGAATGAACGTAGCGACGTACATGACCAAGCATGGGCAGATTGCACGACGGGCACATTGAGTTGAAGAGGCAACAGTATCGTTGCAGGAACTGCTCCAGCATGATGTCATGCTGGCCATAGAATTTCATATCCAGCAGCATGGGCAGCTTGCAGAAGGACGAAACACCCTTCGGATTATTGTGAAAGCTGCAGAAGAGCACCGGCAAACGCTGATGATTCTGTGGATCAAGTGCGTCCTTGTACAGCTGCTCATCGGTGACCTTTTGCGGACGCTGTATAGCCTCGCCCATCTTCTTCTTCTTCTTGAGCACTGCAAAAGGAATAGAGAATTAGAGAAGCAAATGGAAAATCGCGCATTCTTTGACTACTTACTCGAGGCCTTGCCTTTAGGAAAGCGACCGCCAAAGGAGCGAAACTCCGCTAGAAGCGTCTGTATTTCCCGACTTGTCACCGGCGTTGTGATCTTCATTTTGACAAAATCGTGAGCCGGCAGCAGCTGCTGTTCGTTCTCCTTGTTGCCCGGTTCGGCATTGGATTTCAATGGATCCGTTTCGAGGCTGTCGGGACGTTCAACTGCGCTAGTTGATTTGGACCATTGCTTGGAGAAATACAGCTCGGCCGGGAACAGTTTGCGTAGCTTACATTTGCGACCTTGCTCTGTCTCCAGATACGGAAGAGGGAACGTCAAAAACGGACTGACGGACAGCACAGTGGAGCTGAGTGCATTGCGGAAGCGATTGTCGTAGCGCATCTCCACCTCCAAGGCTTGCACATTGATGTTGGACTCAGAGCTGGACACCGACTCGATCTGCGAGGAGCGCAGTGGATCCGTGAAGTCAGCCACGTTCTCACTGACGGCGGCCGTGAATTTCTCGTCCGATTTGCGTTCAGTCAATGGCCGCTTGACGACAGAGCGCAACTGCGGTTCCGCCTCCAGCTGCTCCTCGGCAGCATTCTCGGTGTTGGGACTGGACTCCTTGGAGTCGAATATCGATGGCTTCGGCGCGAGCGGCTGCGCGAACTCGTCCAGCAGAAACGACATCTCGAGTCGCCAATTGTAGCGCGCAAAGAGCAGCGCCGAGGCCACCTTCTTGACGCGCGTCAGCTCCGCATTGTTGCCACCGCGCAGCAGGCAGGTGTAGCCTCGCGGACTGTTCAGATTCTCGAAGAACATTAGGGTCTTGCCGCAGGCATAGTTGCGGATGTGGAAGCTATTGCAATAGCCCAGCTTGGGCATGGTAATGTTCGACTCAATGGAGCTGACGATGTCGCACTGCAGCGTGCGCGCTAGACGCTCCATCACGGAGAGCTTCACGTCTAGCACCAACGTGACACCTTGGTTGCGCAGAAAGTCTTGCGCGATGCCAGCCACATTCTTGTGGACCAGCACCACGTTCGGCTCGAACTTCATGATGCGCTTGCAGACATTATGTAGGTATTCCTTCTCTTGCAGCAGTACCGTCTCAATGGTCACGAATTTGCCCTCGATGCGCTCGTAGACAATGGGGCACTGGAGCAGCAGAATGCGGGGAAACTCGACACGCGTGGCCATATCCTTGTGGGCGACATTCTTAGAGAATGCCACGCCATGCACAATCTCTGAGTCCTTGCGCCTCCCACCCGGCACCTTCTTAAAGTTGACATAGTTACGTATGTCCATGAGATCGTTGGTGCAGTACTCGGGCTTGAAATGATTCGCAGCCGTCGAGCAGAGCGTTTGCAGCACTTTTCCCCACTCGGCATCCAGTTGATGGGCGCGCAACAGCTGGTCCAATAGCTGCTCCTCATGGTTGCAGTAGGATTCCAGCAGTTTTGTCGACACCGCCGTCGCGCACATATCATTTTCCAGTTCCAGATCGTGGGCTGATTGAAAGCTCAAGGAGACATCCATGGACTTGGGCGGCTGCGGTTCCACGCTGCTATCAAATTGCGGACTTATGGGATTGGGGCCTTCGTTGCCTGTGTCTAAGACAGCAGCCACGTTCGCGCCCGGACGCGACAGCTCCGCAAATCTGTAGTGCAATGTTGGATCGAACTCCGTCTGCTCGGCATCGGGCACAATTGGCTCGAGAAAGCCAGCCGCCAGCATGGCATTCAGTATGGCCACAGCCTGCACCTCGTTGGCCGACTTGTTGTTCGTATTGAGAAACTCTATGAGCAGCTGGCCACAGTTTTGGATAGGCAGCTCGCGTCGCATCTCCTCGTGCAGGGTGATCAGTGAATTGGATTGCTGCAGTATGTACTTCCGATCATCCATGGAC